TTTCTTGCCAGCATTCTTTCAGAACATTGAAAGAAAAATTGGCCCCTGCTCAACTTTTAAAGCTTCCAGATCCCTCACTGCCGTACATACTGGATTGTGATGCTAGTAATGTCGGAATTGTAGGGGTGTTTTCTCAGAAAGTGGGCGAAAACGAACATGTGGTGGCCTACTTCAGTAGGGTTTTGAGTAGACCAGAGAAGAACTACTGTGTAACACGGAGGGAACTCCTTGCTATAGTAAATAGTCTGACATATTTCCATCCTTACCTCTATGGGCTAGGTTTCTCATCAGGACAGACCATGCTGCATTACGCTGGTTAAAATCGTTAAAGAACCCAGAGGGACAACTGGCACGTTGGATCGGATTGGAAAGACCAGTATAATTATGATATTGAATATAGAGAAGGAAAATCTCATGGAAATGCCGATGGACTGAGCCGAAGATCCTGCAAAAATGACTGCAGACATTGCTGCAAAAGAGAGGTTGAACTAACCACGTGCCATCAAGCTGAAGTCAAAGTGACTGAAGAAGTTGATGATGATGAAGTGGAACCAGGTATAGATATTAAAGCAGAACAGGAGAAAGATCAAGATTTGAAGCCAATAATTGATTTTTTCTAAAAGTGTTTTGCATCCTGCTTGGAAGAAGGTGTCTAGCTTAAACCCTGTGACAAAGAACTATTGGGCACAATGGGACCAGTTGAGGTCTGAAGATGGTATTCTTGTCCGGAGATGGGAAAATGACGATCTGGCAAACAGTTAAACCGAGAAAGTTATGGGAAGCTGTGCTGGTGCGTCAATCCCATGATAGTTTAACAGGAGAACATCTCGGATTTAAGAAGACATTGAGTCACCTACGACAGATATTTTACTGGATAGGTATGAGGCAAGATGTGGAAGAATTGTGCAGAACATGCGGTACATGTTGTGCTAAAAGGGGACCCAAGCATAAGGGACATGCTCCAATGAAGTTATATCAAATTGGTGCACCAATGGAAAGGGTAGCCATTGACATTGCTGGTGCTTTGCCCCAAACTCGTGCAGGAAACAGGTATATTTGTGTGGTGATGGATTATTTCACCAAGTGGCCTGACGCATATGCAATACCAAATCAGGAAGCTACAACTGTAACTTCGGCTATTAGTGATTTCTTCTTCAAATTTGGTATGCCATATGAATTGCATTCAGATCAAGACTGTAACTTCGAATCAGCTGTGTTCCAAGAATGCTGCAAGTTGTTTGGCATCCGAAAGACCAGGACAACGCCACTTCACCCACAGTCCGATGGGATGGTAGAAAAGTACAATTGGACAATGGGACAGTAATTGGCAAAGTTTTGTAATATCCGCCAAGATCACTGAGTTGTTTTACTCCCTCCACTGTTGATGGCCTATAGAACAGAAGAGCATGAAGCCACTGGATACGCTCCAGCAAAGTTGATGTTTGGTCGGGAACTTCGGTTGCCAGTGGATCTGTTAACAGGACGCCCACGTTATGAAGATTTGCCTGAAAATGTGTCAGAATTCGTGAAAGTGTTATCAGAAAGGATGGATAATATTCACCATCAAGTGCATTCAAACTTGAAAACGTCTGCTGATTCGATGAAGTTATGTTATGATAAGAGATCTACTGAACTCAGCTTTGTACCAGGAGACAAAGTGTGGTTGTGTAATCCCAGGAAGTCAAAGTGAAGTCTCCTAAGTTGTCCTCTCCATGGGAAGGCCCATACGACATAGTGGATCGTCTCTCAGACATGACTTTCCGAATAAAATGTGGTCGGCGAGGCAAACCAAAGGTGGCACATGCCAACAGACTTTGTCATTATCATGGTTCAGGACATTTCAGTTGGAACGAAGTTAACGACGAAACAGATGAGGTTGTGGAAGACGTGTCACCTGAAAAAGCCATTGTCGAAGAAAAAAAATTCTACCCGGTTTTGAGAAGGGAAACAGTGAAGCCCTTAATGAAGTTACTACCACTGATGTGACTATTACCGATAATAGGACAATTCCTGATGGAGCAGATGAATCTCACGTGAAGCAGAAGCCAACGAGATGGAGACCAGTACGGAATAAGATACGTCCAGTAAAATTAAGAGACTTTGTTGTATTTTAATTTTGTGTTTGTACATTCTGTCCATTTAATTAAGTTATTGTTAATTATCTATGGGTTTAATTTAAGTGGCTATTGATCGGGACGAACAATACTAAGGAAGGGGCAGTGTTACGACAGCGGAATTCACGTGACGCTAGTAACATGTAATGAGTATCTAGAACGTTCGTGAAGGCTCGAGTGTTTGCCAGACCCCTCTATTTTGTATATATATGACCGGCAAGAAGTGATGACGGAGCATAATTGCAGACAGAGAGATATAAAGACAGATAATCGAGTCAAACCGTAAGAAAAGTGCGTAAATCATTGTTAATTCTAGAGTGTGTTTAGGTTAAAGTGACTGTGGAAATTAAGTGTATCGCAAAGTTGTATTGAGATAGAATAAACTGGTTTTATTTAGGAAAGGACTTGTATCGCTGAAGTTTTGAGGGAAGGATTTTTTACGGGAAATTAACAAACTACCAGAGACTTAACAATATATATTATACTCTGTATATTCAACAATAAACAAGTTTTACATAACAGGGTGCTTCCTTTAATTTTCTATTCTGACTGACTCTTATTTTATATTGTAAAATTTATTGGTGCAATAATGAAATGATCAAATTAAAAGTAAACAGTTTACAAAGAAGCCTTGAATTTGTTAAACGTGGTTTTGATAATTTTTTATATTTTATGTCTACGATGAAACTAAAATACTGTTGTAAAATAGTAACGTTTCAGTTGCACTTAGCACATTCCTACAGCAAAACAACAACAACAAACAACTGTACTTGCTGTAAAATGAAGTTAATTGGATATGATTGTTAAGTGACGAAAATATTTGTCGTAATTTCAAGGTAAAAATTTTTTTTTATGAGAGTTTAATGTTTGTAGTGCAAACTGGAGAGCAAAGGCGTCGCTAGGTGCTTAAAAGTTTCGGCGCTCGGGTCCATAGGCGGGGGAATCTTTGACGTTTCAGTATGATATCGATCATGGTTTTTGATTTTGATTTTTCAAGATACCAACTAGGTATGCCGGTCACTGTCAAATAGAATCGTGGCACGGGCCCCATGTTCCAGTGCCATGCGACTTCTCAGTTGGAGATATGTATTCATTCTTAAAAAAAGATAAATAATACACGATCTGTTACTCCACAGAACATAAATGAGTTTATTTAATTCAGCGTTTCTTCATTACTGGATTTATTTATCTTTTTAAATTAACAAATGACTTTTTATTCTAATCTTGGTGTGTTATTATTAGTAATGTTCTTTTAGATAAGTATTTTTCCTTTGAAGAGGGCGCTTTGAAATGACGTCACAATGCTGCTTCGTTTGAATTTTGCGAGAGAAACCGTAGTTTTGATGTTAATTCGTATTATTGTTACTAGGCCTATGTTATTGTTAATGATAATGCTGATCGAAACTTTCTATGCATAAAGTAAGTATTTTAAAGCTTTCTCCATTATTTTTTTCACAAATTTTTTCTTATTCTTTCAAACTTAATTGCGGAAATACTAACAGTAACATGGAACAACGACAATTGAAACACAAGTTACAAGGACAAGCATTGAACTTTTGAAGTCTGAAGCAGACTACTGCAGCAGTGGTACTGGTACCTCTTTCTAAGACTATAGTAATATTAGCAGTAATACTGATATTTCCTAAGTTGTTAGAGTTATTGTTACTACTATGTAATATTTGTATGAATTTGCAGATTTGAAAATTTCAATGTGATGTTTTGTTTTTTAGGAAATGATTAAAAATGCCTATTTTGTTGTGCATTTTGATTATGATTTTTATGTCTCCTTTCAAGTTTAAGTTGTTACATTGTTGTAAAATTTTTTATAAAGTTTATTCTAAATGGGTAAATTTTATTTTTTCTTAATTTGAAAAAGACAGCACACATTTCCACTGTATTTATTATCACTGGCATACAGTAAAAATAGTTTACTTTTACTATATCAGAAGTACTATAGTATAAGCAAGCCAATTTTTTAAAATTGATAATCAGAAGGTTTCATTTAATGTGTAATAAGTTTTAAACCCATTATACAATATATTTATATATATTTATATATATATATGTGTGTGTGTGTTTGTGTATTTGTTTAACATTTCTCCAGTTATTTTCTTTGCCCATTCAAGCAGTTACATAAGTTCATAAAGGCCTTATATGAATCTGGTCTAACAGTAACAGTGATGTTTACTGTTTAGTGAAAAGAAACTCAGCATAGTTGAGTGCAAAATGATCTAAATAAGCCTACCTCACCTTGTTCCATGAAAAACATTTCCTATTATATTGCAATATTATAATTTTAATGAAGTATAAAATGATAAAACAAGATTAAAAAAATCAGGACTGTTATTCATGAACATCCTTTCTTCTAGTATCTTATCACTTTGATCCAATCTGCTGAACAGGAAGCCATATTGACTTATATAGTTGAAATTAACATAAAAAGAGTTATCATTACATGTTTGGATCACTAGCCTGTGCCTTCTAAAACTAGGTAAATACATCACACCAAGACAACTGAGATTGAGAAACTGGCTAAAATCAATAAAAGTACACTTGTATGGATGTTACAATGTTCAAATTAGTGCTGTCTTCTTCAAAACTATTTCACCATTTTTCATAGGGGCTATGAGTGCAGAAATGAATCTAAATTTACAAATCTATGTATTAAGTTAAGTAGATAAAGCCATTTTTATTTAATAAATTACAACTCTGAAGTATTGTTTTAATGTGGAAGAACAACTTCAAGCTTATTTTCAATATTTTTATTAATTCAGTGATTCAATGGTTTTCGGAGGGTGGGATGTACCTATTTGGGCATTATAAGAGATATGTAATTACATACTACATACTTTCATAAAAAGTGTTATTTTAAAATATATAGATTTGACATAGAAAAGTACATTTTGCATTGCAATATGTGAAATATGTATTGCAGGTCAAGTACAAAGATAATTAAAAGCTACAACAAACAGTTGAAAATTTCACCATTTTTAAAAAGTATCCTTTAGAACTTAAGTTTTCTTCAGTGTTGTTTGAATATCAGATTTCTAATATATTTGAGTTGCTACATGTACGTCTGTGAATATGCATATGAGATAAACGTTTTATGCCCATATAATACATTTTTTTATTTTTTCCTTTTACCTATGTACGGTTCATGAGTAATAGTATAGTGGGACTTTGGCATCTTTAAATTCCTTTGCCTTGAGCTTGGATTTCTGTGGACAATGTAGCTCTATTATGTGTATCTTTTTTTTTATTAGCAATTAAATGGTAACTGATACTGTAACATGTAGGATTAAGAGAAATTACATTGTTTTTTGCTGATGCTTTCTTTTTTCACTAAGTGCTTCTCAAATTGTTTGTTTTGTTATCAAATATACTTGACCATAACTATAATGGGATGATTATTATACAGGTTTACTGAGTTTTCCTCTGTCTTGAGAAAGAATTTGAGTTATAGACCAGTAAGAATTTACAAGAACATGAACATTTTTGATAACAGCCAAAGTTTAGTGCTAAAAAATTTCCATGAGTATAGCAGTAGCTCACAAAAAAAATCAACCTTGGGAAAGTAGGAATTTCTTTAAGATTTTGAAAATGTTGTGTATGTTACTATTTAAAAATAATAGAAGTTAGCCAAGAAACAAGTACAGCTGAATGAGAACTTTTATTTAATCAATTTTCTTTTAAAAAGTTATCTGCTGTGAATTTTAATATCCAGTCATACAGCAGCAATAGTTATTATACTATATACATAGATCACAAAATTTCACTTTTGTTAATTTTCTAAAAGTTAAAAGGACTTCACAATTCATCTATTGTTACAGCATTGTTATGTTTGTTCTCACACTGTGCTCCACACTTGCAGTGAATGATGCATGGGAGTCCTTTCTTTGAACAACCACACCATGTGCACAGATGGTTGCCATTCTTACAATCACACCATACAGATTGGAAAAGATGAGGGGTGCTGCTGCTTGATCTGTGACAACAGGGGACATAATGCCATTCTCTTCCTTGAATCTTTACTCATGGTAATTGAGCACTGTTCTCAACTGGAGCCAAGTGCTAGCTTGCAAATGAACTCTCAGGGAATGAAAGTAATAGGCCTAGCTTGTGGCCGGCATAATCTCCCCAGACACAACAAAAGCATATTGCAGATCATCAAGGGAATAAATGGCAGTTCCTCTAGCATACAGACTTCACAAAGTTCTCAATGCTAATCACATTATTGATATTCACACCTGTGTCACCAAAAAAGCAGAACACCTGGTCTAAACTGCCAAAATGCCTGCAAAACCTTCATGACTCTGATTTTGCCCACACCAAATATTGCAGATGTAGTGTCACATTCACAGCTTATGTGAGCAAACAAGATAGAGGCAAAGTTCTCAACTAAGGACTTCTTTTGCTACTTAGATAGACAAGTTGCTTATTTGGTTTCAATAAAAATGCATGACAAACACTTCTCACGATAAAGCAGGAGAACAAATATGTCTGTATTATCAGCAATGTTGAGCACTGCTTTGTGAGACACTTCATATTCACGGCTGTCCTGACATTAATAACATTGGCATCACCTTCATCTCCAGCTTGTCTCACACCAATGCCAGCAGCTTCTTGAAGATGCACAGAAAGAAAATCTATCAAGCCTTGCTTGTTTCACTCATTTTACAAAAAAAGTTTCTTTGTTGTTTGGAAGTGACATTTAGTTGCCTACAACAGTGTAAAGAAAATAACCTTTCTTGACTTTTGTCCATTTTTGTTTTGGTTCTTTGCTGGTTTTAGTAATGTAGCTGCCAAAAACAACACATAATGGAAACCCAGTGACATGCTGATAAACTACAAAGTTCACAAAAGAGATACAACATGTTTCCATTGTGCCAACCTTTGGCTCTGAGATGTGATGCAAAAGAGCACAACCATCAGATATCACTGCCATAGGCTCGTCTTGTTTTGATGATAAAATTCCAAATCCCATGTTGATTATATATGTAGCCAGTTAGGATTTCTGTGTTTTTTTCATGGAACTATCATCTTAAAAAAAAAAGAGATGCAGGAATGATTGACAGTTCACATGGAAATACAAATGGATTTGTTGGATCTGCCATAAAAAGGGGTCTTTGATAATGTTCAACAGAAGACATTTTCTTATCTTTCCGAAACACAGTAACAGTTAACTGGTTTTCTCATGGCAGCAAAAGTTGTAGCTTGATCATTTCTCTTAGGAATGAGATTTCTCAGTTTTTCCAGTAATTTTGTTATACCAAAATTAACAGCATCGTAGGCATTGATGTTTTCATCAGCTATCACCTCCTGTTGCAATATCTCTCAGTTCTGAAGTTTCATATTCTTTTGAAAAAGGAGACTGTGCTTTCAAGAAAGTGGCAGACTTTTGTCAATCTTCTGCATTCTTGCTGCATTTCTCGATGTTGTTCAGACCATGTGCCAGATGTAGCTCAGACTAGTTTTCTAAGTTCATCTGTATACTGTGCAATGACATGTGAAGATAAAGGTCACTTTGTTCTTGCAGCTTTCTGGTGAGTTATATTGAACAGACCTTATGTCTTCCTCGCTCACATGAGGCTCTACACTATGACCATATTTGTCTAAGTGCCATTCCAGAACATTTTGTTTTTCCTTACTGTGAACAAGCCTTGATCAGAATAATCCTTTAAACAAGTACACATTTCTTCACAATCTTGAAGATATAAATGCTGTATGCAGGAACATCTGGTAGATAAGATGCTAATTGTTCTCTCAATTTGAATACTATGAATTAGTGAGATTGTGCTATTAGCAATATACATAGGTCATTGAAAGCTGATCATTCAAAGAGTTGAGATTGCATCAATTTTGGGGTATGTTGCTACTACTATGAAGTCAGATTCTATGATTAGACATGAAAGCCTGCATACATTTTGTGTAGTACTTAGCTTCAACAGCATGTATGTCAGATGCAAAAAGTAATCTTGCTTTTATAGACAGTGTATCTTGTCTTCAGTTATTTTCATAAGTTTGGCTCGTAGAATACTGTTCTTTTCTTTATTGACCATTTCTACACTGCTAATGTAAAAATGCAGGTCTGAATGATGAACTGCTTCATGATTGAATTCCTGTGTGCAGATTAAACAGGGAGTTGGATAGTCAAAGGATTACTTTTTAGACTTCAGAGACTACAGCTTTGGTATCAGTGTTTTTGGTGCTGTGTAGTTTTTGTAGCAGTCATCGTGAATGTAGGCATTGTCAGAAGATAAGCCTATCACTTAGTCTCTGTCATCGCCATATTGCTGAGAAACTATGATAAAAATGGCAATATCCTTTACACTGAGTTTTCTACCATCAACCTCTCCACAAGTTACACAAAGTCCTTGTTCATCAATCAGCTTTACAATTTTCATCTACTTGTAAGACTA